TTAAAAATCTCAAGAATGTCATATACAAATATTTGTTATGGTTCTAGTAATCAATCGTGATGATTGAGGAAAATTTTCAACATCTTTTTCTATCAGCTTCTCTTGCATTTATGCCTGGCGGCGCGGTTCACTGAATAAAGGCAATAAAAATGTCTGGTTAGTGAATTGAGAGACCTCTGAGATAATATATGAAATCTCAGATAGTGAGAGTAGACAATAGTTATTTACCTCACAAGTGTGGAAAGTAGTACTTTTCCGCACGTACAGTTGTACGAACGACGCGAAGCGGATTTCGAGCAAGTCGTCGAGGACGAAAACGACATTTTCCGCAAGAGTTAGATTCAAAGTTTTTTCTATGACTGTTTCTGTCCATATTATTCATGAAAAAAAAAAGTTTTTCAATGGACCATATTTTATTGTAATGCTACGAAATGACACATAATGCAAAATAGAAACAAGAATCATTTAGTCAGTCCCAAATCTTCTTAATTCCGACAATGAAACAATCGTGCGAGCGAGAAAATTTTCAGCACTAGTGCGATGAAGTAACTTTTTCGCACGATATTTTTATGCTCTGAAGAATAATGAAATAGATTTTTGTCATCGACATAATAGGAATATGATTTGAAGAACATTTGAACAACAATGACTGAAACATTACTATGATGAATATTGAAATTGAAGGTGTAATTTATGTTATATAGCAGATGCCGCAACATCTCGAAGAACGTCGTTTCTTATTTCAAATTGATTGGTTTCTGTTTGCATCAATCATTTCCAGGAAAAGATCTTGAAAGTTTCCTGAGTTGTCTATTTTTGATTAGAATAACGTACACGGGAAAATGACGCTTGAAATGCTTATTTGTTGACTGCCACTACTGTCACTTTATAGGGACTGTTGCTATGGGTATGACCTGGTGCCAACAGTTTTCACCACATGTCTCCTGGTATTTTCTTCAGAATCTTGTGGAGATGTGGAAATAACGCGGAAAAGTGAAAATAATGCGAAAAAGTTACTTTTTCGCACGCTAGTAGAAAAATATTTCTTTCTAAAACTGCTATGAAAAGTAGCGCATTTCTCATAGCTATAACATAGTTTCAAAACCATGTATTGCTCATATTGTGAGAAATATTTCTTCTCACAGCACTTTGTTAACACCACATACATTTTCATGGAGAATCAACAAAAATCGACCAAAACTTGGCTGCTGTTCAGCTTTGAATAGTTGACACAACTGTCAGAAGGAGTTTTTCAATTTCTTTAGGGTACTTTTCCTTAGTGCTTATGAGCTTATGATAAGAATCGCATTTTCCATCGAATATTATTCCAACAATTCATAATAAATGATATGATGTATATACCGAGATGTGACGATTTTGTTGAATACACCACCAGACACAGAGATAATGGAAGAAGCTGCGAAAGTTGGATTTGTTTTCGGAAAGAAAAAAGTATGAGTTCGAAAGGAATATTCTCAGATAAATTATGGATATATAAATATAAAGCAATACATTGAGAATTCGTATTCTCTATGTGATGAGAATATCAACTCTTTCTCAGTTTATTCATCAGAAAACAACTACTTTCCTGGCATATGCCACGACGAACATTGAATTATATCTATTGAACACACACGATGATAGTTTGAAAATAAAAAAGGAAATCTTTTGGAATTGAGAATTTGCATTCTCCTCCAGACAAAAATATGTATATGCACACGAACATTGATTCATATCTGATGAACATCCAACAGGAGAACATGAAAAATAAGAAATTGAATTCTCCGAAATTGAGGATTGACATTTTGCCTCAAATCGGATGAATATAACTTACCAATATATTCAGCATTGAAATGAAAATTTGAATGTTTACGAGGAGTATACTGGCGTAAACTCTGATCTTGATGAGCTTGAAGACTTCCAAAAATAATCATTCATATCAGTGATATGGGAAATATTATCTCTCACACACAGGTTATATGACTTTATGGCAATTGACTCATTTCGGATTTCTAAACCCTCATCAGTTACCATGATGTTCACTTATTCTCACAGCAATTCTCCATGATAAACACAATTTTCATCTCTCTATTATACAACTAAAACCGAGTAAAACTTTTACAAAATGACATCTGAGAAAATTTTTTGACATTCTATTCCTGTCATCTGGACGTTTTTGTTTCTGGGTCTATGATAATTTGACATTCATATTATACAGAGTTTAGGCCAGTATACTTCTCCTATACATTCCAACTTTCATTTCAATGCTGAATGTATTGGTAAGTTATATCATTATACATCAGATTATTCATTCGATTTGAGAAAGAATGTTGATTCTAAATTTCGGAAAATTTTATTTCTAATCTTTCATGTTCTCCTGTTGGATGTTCATCAGATAAAATTCAATGTTCAACATGGCAAATAGCCAGGAAAGTAGTTGTTGTTTGTTCAATATTTAGAATGATGTGTGCATATACATAGTTTCGTCTGAAAGATAATGCAAATTCTCAATTTCAGAAGATCTCGCATTTCATTCTCAAACTATCTTCCTGTGTGTTCAATAGATATAATTTGATGTTCATCGTTGCATATAGCTAAGAAATGTGTTGTTTTCTGTTGAATAAACTGGAAAAGAGTTGATATTCTCATCACATGGAAAATGCGAATATTGCTTTATATAAATATTCATTTTTTATGTTCACAATTCATCTGAGAATATTCTTTTTCAACACTTTCATACCCAATCGAGGGGTTCAAACATGAACGATGGAAACTCGTCATTTTTATGGACCTCTAATCACAGATTCGTGAGTCTCAAATCAGAATTTTTTTCACACCCAGTATGGTGAATGTAAATTCATCATACACCAAAAAACAAGAAAGTATGAATTGGCATCCCTAATAGCACACAACGTCCTAGGGACGTCCCCATTTGGTACAATTCAAGTCCGAATGTCCCGGACCAAAAATAAGTGTCCTTGGGACGTCCCATCCGGTACATCTCATGCAATATCCGAGCAAGGACGCCCACGGAATGTCCCAGCAGGTACATCATTTAGAATGTCCTGGAAATATCACCCCTTAGACGTCTCACGTGGTACATATTGTAGAATGTCCATGCAAGGACGTCCTTGGCATGTCCCTGCCCAGACAGCACCAGATATTCCATGAATCTCCCTATCATATTCCTTTTGGAATATTGGAATATTCTAGAAATAATCTGGAATATTCCGGAATATCTGTGGAATATTCTCTAAATATGCGAATGGGAATTCCTCAGATAATCATAGAATATACCCAAAAGAATATTCTATGTTGAATGTTCCTTGAATATTCCAATAAACATATTCTAAAATTGAAAAAAGAGACCCAAGTAGGGATCGAACTCGTGACCTCAAGACTATCAGAGCAACGCCTTGACCACTAGGCCAGTAATCGAATTGAATAATATTATACATATCAAGTTCTTGTGAAAGCATTGTTCGAAATTGGATCATAAACATTTTTTGTTTCAAAATCTCCTTACATCTAATTGATGTTCGATACTCATATCTCTGAAATAATAAATGGTATTTATGTGTTGAGAAACAAAGGAATATTCATGGAATATTCCATGAATATTTACCACCAAATATTCAGTTGAGAATATTTCATGAATATACCGCACAGAATATTCAGTTGGGTATATTTCATGAATATACCGCACAGAATATTCAGTTGGGTATATTTCATGAATATACAACAGAGAATATTCAGTTGGGAATATTCCTGGAAGATTCATACCTGAATATTCCCTGAACATGTCCGACTATTCACTTTGGAATATTCCTTTTAGATGTTCCAGTGGCATGTATATATTCTAGGAATAATCGATGAATATTCGGAATATACTCCTCCTTTTTAGCATATTAAGAGAATATTCTATGAATATCCAGTGCTGTCTGGGTGATGGGACATGATTTCAAACGTTCCTTCAGGGACATCCATCGGATGTCGCAGTAGTACATATTCTGGCATGACTTCAGATCTTATATAATGTCCCTTCTAGACAACCATGAAATGTCCCTGATGGTACATTCCTTCGAATATCTCTGCACAGACGCCCTTAATATTTCCAGGATCGTATAACAATCGGAATGTCCCTAAGGGATATCCGTCGGATGTCCCAATTGGTACATGAATTGTTCCAATGTCCTAGAAATGACGTCCTACGGACGTCCCAGTTGGTACTTTCAATATGTTGTCCCTGCTAAGACGTTAACTTATACCTCGCCGACGAAGGCTATAAATACTCCCCGTCAATTTCCTTCATGTAAGTCCATTGGACATCCTTGGGAAACTTTTTCAGGATCTATTGGGGACCTTCTACGGACCATCAACTCAACTAAATGTCCTCATCAGTTATTCAAGATCTGGTCCTAGAAGGACCCAGAAAAATTCAAATTCAAGAATAATTGGTACGTCTCTGGGACATCCTATGGACATCCAATTGATATCCCTCAGCGTTGCTGAAAGGTTGTCCTACGGATGTCCTAAGGACATCCCTCAAGGACGTCCCTAGTAGGTTCTCAAGTGGGACATTTGTGCGTCCCACAGACGTCCAAAGGACGTCCACGGTACGAAATTCGAACGTCCTATGGACGTCCTGACTGCCCCGACAGGACGTTCTAAGGATATCCATGGGACATAATTGTGTTATATACGAAAAATGTATGGAAACTGAGAAAATACAGAAATAAGATATTTTTCGGAAAGTGTTCTTTCTTGAAATGTGACATACTGCCACATTTTGAAATAAATACCAATGAGGTACATTATCCGGATTCTTCGAATAAGTGCAGTTGTAGAGAAAGTATAGTGTGCAACATGTGGGGACAAGCAATTTTCTGACTCGAATGTTTGCATCACTTGCCCTTCAGGCTCGTGCAACAAACTTTCACACTCGTGAAAAGAGTTTAACTTTCTTCACTTGTTGCACAATGTACTATTTCTCGACCTACCTGGAATCTGAGCGCACCAACAGGTGGTCGCGCGTAGGGAATTCCCTTGAACGCACTGAACTCCCTGTCGTTCCTCGTTCTCAGAACGATTCCACTGAGCAGCCCATCATCAATCTTAACGTTCGGCAAGGTGCCGGCAAAAACACTTTGAGAAAAACAGAAGGTGATCAACGACACGACTAACATTTTTGCTTGCCGACGGTCTGCCACTGAGTGAAATCTTTCCTGTTCGGATCCAATGATAAAGCAATAATTTATACGCGATGATATGACAAAAATTATTGATAGTGGGAACCGTTCGCTGCCTTATCAGTTCAGGCAAAGTTTAATCAATGTTTGATCAATCCTACTCGAACGTTCATGAAGAGGTTATGACCCTCCTGCCGACTCCTGAACATGATGCTGCAATAATCTTTGTTTGAATCTCCTAGCCTGAATATCAGCGGAACAAGAAACTTTCATGTAATATTTTTTGACCTACCCTAATAACACACTTATGTCCCATGGATATCCTTAGGACGTCCTGTCGGGACATTCAGGACGTCCATAGGACGTTCGAGTTTGGTACCGTGGACGTCCATCGGACGTCTGTGGGACGCACAAATGTCCCACTTGAGGACCAACTAGGGACGTCCTTGAGGGACGTTCCTGGGACAACTATCAAATGCCTAAATCCTACAGTATTCCTCATCAAGCACTACAGCCCTAACAACACAGGGATGTCCTAGGTACGTCCCTTCTTTGTCCCGCGGTACAAGGACATGATTGGGGCATCCAGGGGATGTCCCGCAGTGGTTGTCCAGTGGACATCCCGCCAGGTACATCCCTAGGTTATCCTATTCGTGTCCCTGGAATATCTGATATCCATTCACATTAGAGTCATTGAATTTCATCAAACTATTGAGTGGCATTTTTTTTTAAATGTTTGGTTTTTCTTCCGGAAAATAATTATATAAAAAATGGAGAATAAAGTCTCAGAACTTCTCAAGAAATGACCATTTTTCGCAAACAGAAATCGTACATGCATTATTCCCCTCATATTTAAACACCCCAGAATGATAATAATCATACCCAAATCCTAACAATAATGTATTTATTCAGGTTTCTGTAGTTAAGTCCTGTTTATGAATCTGTTTAGTACATAAATCTTCAGGAGGCATAATAGCCTATTCGACCTACTTTTTTTCTTTTGTCGTAGGGATGTCCCTGGGATATCCTTGGGACGTCCCGATATCCTTTCTTCGTACTTGGTACATCCCAGGGACGTACCAGAAGGACATCCCTTGGATGCCTTTTTTTTGAGGCCAGCGGATGTCCCTGGGATATCCCTAGTATGTACGTTGTCCCGACAAAAGACATCCCTGGGATGTCCTAGTATAAAATCAGGGACGTCCCTGCAAAGTCCCTAGGATGTACTGGTGTTGTTAGGGAGAGGACGTCCTTAGGACATCCATAGGACAACCTATCAGTAACGCTGAGGGATATTATTTGGATGTCCATAGGATGTCCCAGGGACGTACGAATTATTCCTGAATTTGAATTTGTTTGGGTCCCTTCAGGACCAGATCTTGCATAACTGATTAGGACATCCACTTGAGTTGATCGTCCGTAGAAGGTCCCAAAAAGTTTCCCAAGGATGTCCAATGGACTTACGTGAAGGACATTGACGATGACTACTTATAGCCTACGAGCAATCATTCGTCGACGAGGTGTGAGTTAACGTCCTCGCAGGGACAACATATTGAAAGTACCGACTAGGACGTCCATAGGACGTTATTTCTAGGACATCAGAAGAGTACAGTTTATGTACCAATTGGGACATCCGATGGATGTCCCTACAGGAACGTTTATAATCATACCCCATCAGGGACATGCCAAGGACGTCCTTGCATGGGCATTCTACAATATGTACCACATGGGACGTCCAAGGGATGCTATTTCTAGGATATTTGAAATGATGTACCAGCTGGGACATTCCGTGGACGTCCTTGCTCGGACATTGCATGAGATGTACGGGATGGGACGTCCCAAGGACACTTATTTTTGGTTCGGGACATTCGGAGGTGAATTGTACCAAATAGAGACGTCCCTAGGACGTTGTGTGCTATTGGGGTATGGATAACCGATACGTATTCTTCGTATCCGAATTCGAATTCATCATTATTCATCCCTTTTTCTGATAATGACATTCCTATGTATGTTTATGTGGGCGTTTCACTTTCTTTCAAGGTATAATTATAACGGGGGAAAACTATTACATTGCTGACGGTACATACGAGCATAGAAAATACCATATAACAGTTTTTATACTTAAATGAGTTATAATGACGAATTCACCTGAAAATAAAGGTTTGTCGATTTCAATTATAGATTTTCTGATCGTTCATATTATTTTCTGATAGGTATATGTTTTCATATATGTGAGAAATAGTTATTTATTATACAAGGGAAAAAAGTAGTAGATTTTAGCTCCGCTACGCGTCGGGAGACAAAAAACCATGAGCTAAAATCTAATATTTTTCCCGTGTATAACACACTATTTTTTTCTGTGACAGAAGAAAGGACCAATCAATATTGAGAAGATATTACATTATTTGGAAATTTGCAAATTATCGACGTGGAATTTTTTAACAGTAGGGAGTAATGAAATATCTGATGTCACTTTTGTCAGTCTAATGCTGTGATTTGATTTCGAAAAATTGCGAATTCAATGGTTGTTCTTTCTCGGAGACGGTATTATTGACTCATCTTTCGAAACTATAGCACAACAAAAGTCATCAACAGTGTAAATATATATGTTATATTAATCCAGGAAAAAAGTACTCACTTTTTTTCCACGGGAAAAGAGTAATTTATGAAAAGTGTCATTTTGTAACCTGCCAACACCCAGACGGCACCTCATATTCCTGGAATATGCCTACTACATCCAATTTTCCAATGGATATTGCATTATTCCTGGAATATTCCATGAATATGTGCTTGATCTGATATCCTCAAAGAATATTCCTGGAATATATTTTTCGAATAGTCTTTAAATATCCCCAAAGAATATTCCCTGAATATGTTTATCGAATATCCATTAGATATGCTTTTCGAAAATTCCAGGAATATTTCAAAAGCAGATTGTCGGAATGTCGACCTATGCCGAATGAACATGACACGAGTCTGTCGGTCATCGCCTTTTGTTCCACATTCCACAGTCACCTAGTGAAGGTCGTGATAACATGGACGCGAATATGCCGCGATTGTTTTTATGATAAACAGACGAGAAGAGCATGGAATTATTAGTTTAAGCAGAAGTGCTATAATGTGTATCGATTACTGTGAATAGTGTTGACATAGATATAAAGTTTCAGACGTTTGAAGTTAGTTACAATTAAAAAATGGAACATTAACTTAGGATGTACTTCTCTTTTGGCCGCCATTAAACTGAAGAGGATCACAAAGGGAGACTCAATGGCACTCAAAACCAGTATAAGGTATACCAGATTATACATTAATGAATTCATATACAGAGTGTATCTATATATAACATCGAAAAAATGAATGGGGTGATTCTGTGATGAGAATGAAGGTATTTGGTATAGAATTTTTTGATAACCCTCTCAACCCCGGATAAGTTACACTCATCCGAAGATAAAAAAAACATGGTTTTTATTTTTTAACTTCCCTGTATATTTAGTTAAAGACACGAAACTTGGTAAATATCATGTGAACTACACATTTTGAAATGTTTCACACCCTGAAGTTTGCTTAGAAGGGGTTGAAATATATTTATTTCACAACTTGAAAAAAAAGCAGCTGAAAATCCCAATCCATTTACTAATTCATTGTTGATCTCTATAAAAGCATTCGCCATGTGTTTTTGAAAAAAAAGGGTTTATAAAAAAAAGTTGTAAAAAAAATATCTTAGGCGTTGAATATTTCAAGCCCTTCTAAGCATACTTCAGGGTTGAAAACATTCCAAAATGGGTAGTTTTATTGATGAATAATATTAACAAGTTCTGAGCCTTTAGTCATATTCAGAGGAGATGAAAAAGAAAAACCATTTTTTTAATTTTGAGAAGGGTGTTATCTTCGGGTGTTACTATTCCATGAAGAGATTTTTCAAAAAAATGCATACCAAACGCCCACCTCAATTTTCATCACGAAATCACCACTTGAAATTTTTCTGTTATTTAGATACACCCTGTAGATGCACCACATTTTTTTCAGTACTTACCTATATCTACCCATCTGTCAAATGGAAAATCCAGAAAATATTCGTGTTGTTGAAGATACGAACATGACAAAGAAATAAACAATAGATTGAAATCAGCTGATTAACTCAGATGTTGACGAATTCAGTATCTAGTTCTTTCAACTTTTGTAGCACGCCCAAAGCAAAGGTGAGTGAATTCAATCAATTTTTATATTTTAGTATTTGCTATGTTGTGATCATTGCAGATCCTGTTGAATTCATCACCGCTACCGTTCAAGAGAAGAAGACAATCATATGATATAGTATATAAAGTGCAAGCTTTAAGTATTTTACAAACTTACATCCTGTATGTTGATTTCTATCTTTTACATAATAAATTACATTTCATATAGATATTTCATTCTAGTAATTATTGAAAAGCATATTCTATGCATATACAAAGAACATATTCCTAGTATATGCCACCAATCTCTTTTGAAAGATTCACAGATATTCCTGGCATATGTTTCATGGTGACCTTGGATATTCCTGGAATATGCATATCATATGTTTTGGAGGACATGGAATATCCATGGCATATGGCAATATTCCAACGCAATATGCATAGGATATTCATGGAATATGATTGTGCCGTCTGGGCAGAGACGAAATGCCAAACTTTTTTCCCGTCACAGAAAAAACAAATTTCATTCATTTTAATTCATGCTCAGTCATTAGTTCTGGTTCAGTTATTTTCGACTTCAAACTTCACTATACCCTAAATAAAAAAATTCCCACCATGAATGAATGAACTCATAAAGTAGCATTGCAGACAATATATGTGATATGTGTAGATTTTATTACTGACTCCATGTGCCGCCTTGAAAAAAAAA